TTCCATCTTTCTGGATCAGTTTCTTCCACAGCAGTGGCCTAATCTGAATTTCTTTCTCCAGGAGAGTGTGTGGAATTTGCTGTACACAGGCTGAGGCTGTAAAACATATTTTACCGCAGCTGATCCCAGGGTGAGGAGATTCACCTGGAACAGTTGCAGGCAAAGCCAGGGGAGGGAAGTGGGCAGCTTTGCCTGCAGTGTTTCTGGAGCATCTGAGCTTTAGCTTTAGTGTGCAGGAGCTGGTATCCTCCCTGTGCTGATGCTCTTTATGCTAAAGAGCCCAAAGAAAACATATGAAATCCTTTAGGGTCTGGGATGGGGCCACATCCCATTCTCCAGAGGCTCTGGGAATGCCTCTGCATGGCCTGCACTGAAAGGGGCATTTCTGGCCTGTGCTGTCAGCCCGTTCCCCCAGGAAAGCTGTGCCAGTCTGGGGCTGGTGAGGAGCTGGTCCAGCTCAGCTCACAGGTCGGGCAATGCACTTACAGATGAGATGTAAAATGTCCTGCTCCCTCCTGGTCTCTCTGTTAGTAAGGCCAAATTAGCTGGGTTGTTTTCTACTCCAGGGATGTCCTGGCCACATCCAGAGAAAGGAAAGGGGGTAAGAGGCTGCTGGGAGCTGAGGGCCTAACTTGGCGGCAGCCATGCAGCAAGGAGGAGCTGGAGATGGTGAGTACCCAGGGGAAGACGTAGCTTCTGTGGCTCCCAGGTGTGTGGCTCTTGGGAGTTCAAGACTCTCGTTTTCCCTGAGCTAAAGGGGAAGTAGAGCTGCCCAGTCCCTGTTTCCTAAATCTAGCCTTCCACTCGCCTTGATTCTAACCCTTTCTGCACCTCCTGCCTCTCCCCTCGCAGGGAATAAACATGGGGAGGCAGACGGGCTCTCAGCCTCGCTGAGCAGCCGCTGTGGCAGCCAGACCTGCGTTGGGAGCAACAGCACACTTTGGCCAGAGCCACCCCTCCCTTGGGGTGGGAGCAGAGGAAGCTGCTTGGCCCCTCCAGGCTGACCTCAAGTGTCCGAGTCGTGTCCAACGCTGCGCAGCACTGGGGAATGGCTCCACACGCTCCTTGGCTTTTTATGGTAAGGAATGTCTTTGCAATATGTTAATTAAGAGTGATCATGGCAGCCAGCACCGTCCTGACACTCTCACAGTTGAGCACACCCCCTGCTAAGAGCAGAGTGTGGAGCCACAAGTGATGCTGAGACAGTGGGAAGGGGCCACAAACTGAACCTGGGGAGCTGAACCCCCTCTGCCTCCCCCTTTGCTTCCTCCAAGGCTCCTGCAAGCCACCCTTTCACTTGCCAGCAAGCGGGAGCCAGGCAGCAATGAGTCAGTGAAGTCAATTTTTGAGGGGGTTGTGTTCAATGTAATCAGTGGATGTGCTGGAAGTCTCGCAAACCACCTTGTTCACACAAAATTATTCCTTGTGATGCTTAAAGATTGCTCGTCCTTGCTTTTTTGCATTGCCAAGTACACACTCCTATTGATTCTGTGTGTAAGACTGCAGCATCACAGCACTGCCTTTGTGTCTCTCCAGCTAAAGAAAGTTCCTGAGTCTCTCCTTTGGGGGATCAGCTCTGCCAAGATTTGGCAAAGGCTTTACTTCATCATCACATCACTTCCTTCTCATCTTGCTCTCTTGCCTTAACCTTGCTTGGGAAGATGCCGGCAGACTGTGGGGTACAGGGGTAGATGCACTGCTGGTGTGCTTAGGGGGGTGCCTGGGGCTATGTGTCCCCTGGGGCGGTGCAGGAGATGGCTCCTGTTTAATTTAGGGTGTGAGGCACCATGGCCAGGCTGTTGCATAGATATTAGTTTGTTCTTGCACACAGTTATTTGTCCTTTGCACCTTCTCCCAGTGGCCAGGCTGTTGCTGTCAGATGTGGGTGACAGACAGGCCATGGGGTGCTCCAGCCATGTTGTACCTGCAACAGTCAGCAGCTTGTTCACAAAGCTGTCCTAGTGCCCCACAGCCTGCAATCTGCCACTGGGATTTGCAAACCCCACCCTTTTCCCATTGATTCTTTGTTGTTATTCTTATTATTATTTATTTCTAAACCCATTTCTGCTAGGGCTGGACGTGAGCCTTGTCATGGGGTGAGAGTGCCTGCATCCCAGGGTGCTTGCTGTGCTGGTGTTGCAGCAACATCAGGGCTCTTCAAAAAGACCTGAAGCTGCAAACTGAGCGGCCCCCTACAGCAAAGCCAAGCTGAGGGGGAGCAGCGAGCAATATTATTGCAGTGTGTGTGGTTCTGATGAGCTGTTTTGGGGAGGTGACCCATCCCCTTTTCTCCTTTGGCTGGTAGTCATGGCTCTATGCTGCTAATGCTATTTTGAGCCTCTCTTCCTATACAATGTCAAAATACTCAGGAAACAAACTGAGTTTACAAAATCTGCAGTAATATAGCACTTTTCTCCTGCTGGCTGTTGGGAGCCTGCTTTTGCCAGGGTGGAACTGCAGGATTCAGCCCAAGTGCTGTCAGCCAGGGTCAGAGCCACCCATCAGAGTCACCTCCCTCTTCTTCGGTTGTTTTGTGGTGGCCACGTTGCTGCTGAAGGATCCAGCGTGTTCTCTAAGAGACCCAGCTTTGCTGCTCAGAATTGTCTCCCAGCCTGGGGACAGCTTGGCACTGGAGGTTGGAGAGGTTGGTGGCCACACTGTGAGCCCAACTTTTCCCATGGCCAGTTCAAGGGTAGCACTGGGAGCCTCCCTGGGGCTGGGCAAGGAGTTTGGGGCACAGGTGGCTGCACTTTGCCTGGCCCTGTTCCACATGGGTCCCCCGAGGCCAGGCACCATGTGCTGGGTCATGGTGAGCAGCAGCAGCCCAAATACAGCCCTGGGGGGTTGCTCCTCCTCACAGGTCCTTCCCCCCCAACACCCCAGTTCTTACCCCATGGTGAGATGGGATACCCAGGTACCAGCCCAGTTCCTTCCTTCCCCACAGGGCTCAAAGCAAAGGTTTGTTCTTTCTGGGTGGATTTTGAGCCCCTCATGGGGCCAGGATGCATGGACTGAGGTTTGCTGGCTGGCTTGTACATTTGTGAGTGGGTAATTTTTATTTTCTTGTGAACGCTATAAAAAAGATGAACTCAGGAGCAACTCCAATCCTTTCTGAGAACTCAGCCCTGGGTGAGGGAGAACAACCTGGGCCTGAAAGCAAGCGCTGACTCTGTGGGGCCTCCTGCAGTGCAGCCCCAGCACTGGCATCATAATGCCTGGCAGCATGGGTTGAGATGTGGAGGTGTGGCCGGGTCTGATGGGAAAACAGGTCACAGGGGTGAGAAGGAGGGGAGTAGGGTCGGTGTCTCCTCTGTGATGGCACAAAGGGACAGGGGCCATTGCACTTCCAGCCATGCCAGCACAGGGACCCATGTCCTTGGGCAGCGCAGAGGTGGTGGGACATCTCCATCCCCAAGGTGAGGTGATAACTGTGTCCAGGAGGGAGGCTGAACCCCTCGTTGTCAGGGGGATCCATCAGAGCCAGATCCCACAGCTCTCCGAGCAGAAGTGGCTGGGGGCAGGAGGAAGATAAGGCTTTTAGTCATGTTTGCATGGCTGATTCAGTTTTCCCTGGCTGGGAAGCATTGGGCAGGGGAGATAAATGCAGATGTAAGTAATGGAGCTGTTTATACACTCGCTCTCTATGACTTATGCCATGAGCAAGGCTAGACTAAATATAATGGTTATTGATATGAGGCAGTAGCCGATTTATGGCCCTCTGTGTGAGGACAGGAAGATCTGATTATAACAACTCTCAGCAGGGGAAAACAAATGTTTTACAACCAAAAGTCTTCTGGGAAGAAAGGCCAAGTGCTGGGGATGGGTGGAGAGCAGTGCGGTGTGGAGGAGGGCTGCATTAGGACCTGGATCCTGGAGCAGACCCCCAGGGAGAGCCAGGGACCCAGACAGAAATAGCCTGCACTGCGTCCCAGCCCTGGGGAGCTCTGCTGTGGGGATTCACAAGGAGGGAAATTTGTGCAGACAGACTTACAGCCTCTGTAATGGCAATTTATAGAGACCTGTTCTGCACAGGTGCTTGGTGCTGTCGGAGTACAGACCTGGGAATTGCAGGGATGCTCAACACAGTTCGTCCCAGCTCCCCCATGCTTTCACCGCCTCCTTTTGGCTGTGCTTTGACGCAGTTCAAAAGAGTTAATTGATCCTCTTTCAGTGATGCTCTTCTGGTACAGAAAACCATGGGTCTTTAAACACAGCCCTCAGCACAGGGCTCAGTTGCTCGTGGGGTACGTGAGCCACATCAGCCCCTCGCGTGTGGGTACAGCTGCACTGAGGAGAGTGCAGTGCCATTCCCCACACCGCAGTGCTCCCCCCCCCCATGGTCGTGCTCAGATGTAACCCACACCCTCCACCCCCTGCTGCCTGTGACTTCCCTCGGGCCAGCAGGTCCCACCACTCCTCCAGCACCCATCTCTCCTCGCTGTGGGGTGTCTCAAGGAAGCTGGACATGGGATGGAGGGCTTTACTGAGGCTTCCCTGGCTGGCTGGGGTCCCCTACGCTTGCATAGACCCTGGTGTGGGTCCAGCCCCACACTGTGGCTTCAGAAAAGCAGTGCCAGTGCTCTGCTTTGCGCTTCACCCGGGCTGAGACGCTGAGCAATGCCCAAGCTACCTGAAAGCATTAAAGTTCTCCCCCAGCGTTGACCTGCTGATGTCCCGCTCTGCTCCCCTAGCAGCACAACCTCTCCCATGGGGCCACAACTGCGCTCCCCAGCAAACAGCCTCCCTCCCCACCAGTCCTTGGTGACCTCCGGACGCTCTGCAGAGCCTCGTGCACACCAAAGTGTCAGGGATGAGCCACGATCAGGTGCCCTGTGCCCTCAGCAGTCCTGTACTTCGGCTAAGGGCTTGTCTTGCTATGGATGCTGCTTCCAGCTGTGCTCCATCTCAGGGAAAGCCTTCCCTGAGCCACAAACCCCAAGGAGATGTGAAAGGGATGTTTTCCCAGCCTGGCTGTGCCAGGAAGGTTTGTCCAATGATTTCTATACTTCTGGATTTTCCTACCTGAGTCGGGTTTGTGCCCATGTGGCTGTGGCCAACGCTGCCCTGGGACACAGCTCCTGAACCAGGACGCAAATGAACCAGAACTTCCCAAATGTCCCTAAAAATTCACCCCATTAACTCCAGCTAGATGCTGCATTGGTTGGAGGGAGCAGAGCTTTCAATAGGATCCAGGAATGGAGGCAACAGGGTGTAAGTCCGTCTGTGACAGAGGAACAGGTGATTACACAGGAGAGTTGATTTTGGGTTTTGATCTCTCTGTTGTCAGCAAGTGCTTGGTGGAAGCAAATGCTGCCTTTGGATCCTTGGTCACTTGCTTGGCTGAGTCTGCAGTCAGCAGCATTGCTTTTAACAGTTACAATATCTGGGTGCATTTGAATGAAAAAGGGTATATTTTGATGCATTTCAACCCAAAAAGTAGCCCATCCCCAGGCCTGTGATGCTGCTGGAGACTGCAAAGCCATGGGATTGAAAGAAGCTCTGCTAGGTGACATTGAAGGTGATGAAGGAGCCATCTGCTTTCTGCTGATGTCCCACCAGCTCTGCCTCCCCCCAGGGCGGGGCTGGGACCCTGCAGCGCACGGAGGAGCAGCCGGGCAGGGCCTCGCTGATGCGGGTCACCTCGCTGAGCTCTGCCTCCAGTGTGCTGACAGTGTTCACCTGGGCCACGTGCACCTTGTTGGCTGCCTTCTTGTGCAAGAGGCAGATGAAGATCTTCTTGAAACCCTTGCGGAAGTGTTTGGAGACCAGGGCATAGACGATAGGGTTAACGCAGGAGTTGGCATAGGAGATGAGATGCGAGAGGATGCGGAGCACATATGTAGAGTGATTGAGGGGGAAGTACCCGAACCAGACACAGAGGATGACCAGGTGATGGGGCAGCCAACAGAGGCAGAACAGGACAGCTACGATGATGATCATCCTGGTGACCTTCCGCTTGGCCTTCTTGGATTCTGACATGTCTTGGAGAGGGTCCACAGACCTCCACAGGTAGTGAATAGTCCGCACGTAAGTGAGGCTCAGGATCAGCACTGGGATGATGTAGCTGAAGATGAAGGTGCAGATGTCCATGACCTTGCGCTGGGAGATCTCCCAGATGGGGTGGCAGACAGTCAGGTTAGCCAGCTGGAACTCCTGGTAGTAGCTGAGGTAAGGGCTTGAGAAAATGAAGGAAAGCCCCCAGATGAAGCAGATGGCTGTGAGGGCGTTCCTGGGTGTCCTCAGCTCCCTCGAGTGCAGAGGGTATCGTATGGCCAAATACCTGCACAGGAAAGGGAGTGGGACATGACTGCAGTCCAGAAGCAGATTGGAGAAAGGGCAGAAGTGATGGATTTGAGCTTTCCAGGGCAATTAGTCACACAAGTGCTTCCCTGGTGCTTCTCGGGGTCCCTGTGCAGCACAGTGGGGTGAGGAAGATCTCCCCCAACCCTGTCCTGTCACCCTTTCTACTCCCAGAAGCGCATGGAATATGGAGATGGTCCTTTCTGTCCTTCTCCCTAATCCAGCAGAGCCTCACTTGATTATCAGTCTGTCTGGCACAAGCGATAGCAGTGGTGAGGATATGAAGGCAGGAGCAAGTCCCCAGGATCCACACACCCCGTGTTCCTCACACCACAGAATCACAGAGTCATCTCAGATGGAAAAGACCTTGAAGCTCCTCCAATCCAACCTTTAACCTCACTCTGACCATTCCCAACTCCACCAGATCCCTCAGCGCTGGGTCAGCCCGACTCTTCAACCCTTCCAGGGATGGGGACTCCCCCCCTGCCCTGGGCAGCCCCTTCCAACGCCCAACAACCCCTTCTGCAAAGAAATCCTTCCTCAGAGCCAGCCTGGCACATGCAAAAGCATGTCACCCATTTTCAGTTCTGCAATTAGGTGATTCCTTAATTACATCCAGATGTGGGGGCTTGTGTAAGCCCCTGCTTGCTCGACACCTCCACTCCTCCCAGCTCTGTGGGATGCAGGAGGAGAGGCAGACCCTGGCTCTGCTTTAGCTCCTGGGGGGCTTGCGGGGACTGTCCCAGCAGCCAGTGTGGCGCTGTGCTGGGATGGCAGGACACATCCTGCTGCAGCTCTTTGCAGGGGCCTTTCACGGGGACTTTCCACATCCCATCTCACATGTTTTGGGCACTGAGTGGAGCAGCACCAGGAGCTCCCTGCCTCTCGCTTGCTGCGGGGGCTGAGCCAGCATGGGGGTAAAACACAGGCAGGAGCAACGAGCTGCCTTTTACAGAGCTTCCTGGCTAAAACCCACCCTGGGACAGTCACTGGGACAGAAAGGGATTTTTTGCTAATAAAAGAGGAGGGTGGGAAAAGCAGTGTCCCAACTGAAACATCCCTGTGCCTTCTCCTCCTGGAGGTTTGCCTGCTTTGCTGTGGGCTGTTGGTAGGGTAGGGGCTCCTGGGAAGAGCCAGGGCTGTGCAGGGACTGAGCTTTGTTCCTGTTTTTTTTATCCTCCCTTCAGCTGACGGAGCCTGCAGATACCCCAGTCCTACAGCTTTGGAGTCTGAAAACTTCCCCCAGCAGGGCACTGAGGACAGGGATCCTAATCCACCCCTCTCTGCTGGACCCCATCCCTGGCAGTGCATTTCCTTGTACACAGCACCTGGGAAATGCTCCTGGATTCCCACAGGAGGTTGCAGGAACCGGGGCTTGGCTCCAAGGGATCCAGAGAAGAGGGAGCCTCAGGGTCCAGGGAGCCCCCCCATCCTCTTTCCTACCTGTCAAGGGAGACGGTGGCCAGGGTGAAGCTGCTGGCGTACATGGTGAGGTAGATGAAGAAGTGGACGGCCTTGCACATGAAGGACCCAAACACCCAGCCCTCCAGGGTGTAGATGGTGGCTTGGAAGGGGACGCAGAAGAGGATGAAGCAGAGGTCAGCCACCCCCAGGTTGAGGATGAAGAGGTTGGTGGTGTTCTTCACCTGCCCATTGCGCAGCAGCACGGCTAGGACCAGGCAGTTGCCCACCGTGCCCACGAGGAAGATGACGAGGTACACCAGTGGGATGATCACCGACTCGGGCTGCCAGCCCCCCTCAGAGCCCGCCGCCACCGAGCCGTTCATGGCCAAGAGCACACTGAGCACGCAGCGGGGATGGACGGGAGGGAGCGAGCGTGGAGAGGGCACGGAGGGCACGGCGGGGATGCACGGGGAAGGTGATGCACGGAGAGTGTCACGGGGGGGTATACCAGGGATTGCACGGGAAAAGGGGTGCACGGAAAGGTCAGTGGGGAGCGCAGCAGGGATGCAAAAGGGAAAGCGGGTACATAGAGAGTGCAGTGGGGAGCGCAGCAAGGATGTAAAGAAAAAGGGGGTGCACAGAGAGTGCAGCAGGAGCGTACTGGTAATGAAAAAGGGGGTGCACGGAGAGTGTGCAGGGAGATCGGTCGGGGTTACACGGGGCGCGCAGGGGGGGGATGCAAGGGAGCCGGGCGCCCTTCACCTCCTCCAGGTCGGCTGGCAGCCC